TATATATATATATATTAAAAATTTGAAAAAAATTCTACTAAGAATTAAAAATATTATTTAAAAAAAGACAAATTTTAGTTGTTAATCAAGCTCTGATTAACTTTAATCTTCACATAAAATTTGAAAACATTTTTTTTCTTTTGTTATTTCATGATTTAATGTTTTACAAAATGAGTGGATTGAATTTTTTTTCCCAAAATTATTAGGATCTTTTTCAAATTCTTTATCGCATTAGCTTAATGAAATTGACAAAGCTAGAATATTTTCGACTAAAAATAAAAAAACTCACTTCGCAAGATATAAAAATAATTAAATAGTTTAAAAATGACAATGCAAGTTTTTTGATTTCAAAACTTAGTTATAAATCAAATTTTAATTAACCTTGATATTTACTTAAAATTTGTCGGTACTTTTCTGTTATTTCTTGCTTTAATGTCTTGGAAATTAAATTTCAATTTTTTTTTTATATTGTGAGGTTCTAAAAGGCTAAATTTGTGCTTCCACTGGACCATATTGTCTTCAGGCTAACCATGGAAGATTTTCTTCACCACGTAACGTAAATACGTATCTCACTCGCATAATTGTCTCACTCAAGTCCGTTTCAGAAACGAATTAGTTCCGATATTAAACGCGACAGTTCGATTATATTTGAATTGTATTCAGAACTTCAAGGGTACAATCGAACTTTATTATCTCAGATTCACTATTTTAAAAGGCTGTGTGCATCTTCGATGATAAAGTAAAATGTTATTAATTGTTTTCTTTATCAAAATTCTAGCTGTCGTTTTCTTTTTTGCAGATGATAACAGATGATTACGAGAGTGCAACCGATGAAGGTGATGTACATTCTCCAACCGAAACTTCCCCCACGTAAGTATACAGTACATAAACATCTCTTTTTTGTTTTAATAAACGAGTTTTTCATACGCATGCAAAACATGTGTAAATAAAAAAAAAATGTGTAAAACGCGTTTCTATTTTGCATTCAAAACAAAGAGTGGAATAACCGTGTAAAACACGTTTTTATTTATATCTTAACACTTCTAAAGTAAATAATAAATGAAAAAAACATGTGTAAAACGCATTTCTGTTTTGCATTCAAAACAAAGAGTGGAATAATCGTGTAAAACACGTTTTTATTTATATCCTAACACTTTTAAAGTAAATAATAAATGAAAAAAACATGTGTAAAACGCGTTTCTGTTTTGCATTCAAAACAAAGAATAGAATAATCGTGTAAAACATATTTTTAATTATATCCTAACACTTCTGCAGTAGATAATAAATGGAAGAAAAAAAACATGTGTAAAACGCGCTTCTGTTTTGCATTCAAAACAAAGAATAGAATAATTCTGTAAAACATATTTTTAATTATATCCTAACACTTCTGCAGTAGATAATAAATGGAAGAAAAAAAACATGTGTAAAACGCGCTTCTGTTTTGCATTCAAAACAAAGAATAGAATAATCGTGTAAAGCATATTTTTAATTATATCCTAACACTTCTAAAATAAATAATAAATGGGAAAAAACATGTGTAAAACGCGTTTCTGTTTTGCATTCAAAGCAAAGAGTAGAATAATCGTGTAAAACACGTTTTTATTTATATCCTAGCACTTCTAAAGTAAATAATAAATGAAAAGAAAACATAATTTTCATTTGTATTTCTCGCAATAGAATAATTAGGTAAAAACGCATTTTTCATTCACATTTAAAACATGTGTAGATGATCGAGCAATTATGAAAAAAACACATTTGTCATTAGCATGCAGAACACTTTATAGAATAATCCTGTAAAGAACGCGTTTCTCAAAATATTTGCATTTTAATAACGTATATTTTTCTACGTGTCAACTGAAACAATTTTTCTTCAAAATTTTACTCTAAGTAGACGAAGGTTTTGATATCTTTATTTGTTTTGAATAATATTATTTGCCTTGTCTTGCTTCTACTTGTCACCAATTGTAATCGGATTAACAATTCCTATTGTAAAAAAAGCTTTTTGTGTGTATTCTTACACGAATCCTAAAATTCAATAATTGCATCCTAAAAAATTATTTTTAATTTTCGTTTTATTATTATTATTTTTATTTTAACTAATATTTCTTTAGACAGATTCTACAGAGATTTTTTGTAGAAAGTTTTGAATTGAACGTAAATTACTTGTTTTCTAAATCTTAACACTCCAAAAGCAATTATTTCACTGACCTAGTAATGTATCTGAATAAATATACCCTTTATGTACACCCATGTTTTATTACAAAAATGTTTAATTTTTTCTTTCACTTTAGCTATAATAAGTTTAGCTATCTTTAGATTCAGAAAATTTATTTTATTATTTATTTATTAGCATTAATTGGTTATTAATAAAAGAAAGAAAAAACTAAAAAAGATATTAGAAAAGATTCAAATTGTTTATTAAACCTTTAACACAAGATGGTTTATTTAAATTTGCAATTAACCCTTATAAAAAAAAATTATTAAAAGAGAAATTTATATGAATATATACCCGTGCAACCATGTTTTTTTGGCAAAAATGTTTAATTTTTTCTTTCGCTTAAACTATAATAAGTTTAGCTATTAATTTAGATTTAGATAATTTATTTTATTATTTATTTATTAGCATTAATTGGTTATTAATCTTAGAGAAAGAACAAATTAATATTTAAAAAAATTTGTAATTCGATAAGATTCAAATTGTTTATTAAACTTTTAGCACAAGATGGTTTAATTAAATTCACATTTAACCTTTATAATAAAAAATATAAATAATTAAAAGAAAAAATTGTCGATACTTAATATTCCCAAATGAATACATTTTACTAAAATAAACACTGTAAAAATGCTTACTGGAAATTTAGTTTTAAATTGGCGATGGTTAAGAGAAAGAAACTTTAAATGAGCAAGCATTTTTTTATTCCAGCACTAATTAACAAAAGGCTTTAGTTTTTATAAGAAATTGTAATATTATTACACGTCTCTGTGATGTTACGTGAGTTCATTATTTTTCAACAACATTTTTTTCCTAAAATTTCTTTTGAAACAAAAAAGATACAAGCATTTAAACCTTTTCATTAATAAAAAAAAATTCATTGATTTTTCCGAAAAAAGAAAATCTTGAGGGAAAAACTGCAAGTATTTTAACGAACAAGATTAAAAGAAATATACATGTAAAAAAATAAGTATTTAATTGCAGTGGGATAACTGAAAATTCATACAAAAAAATCAGTGTAAAAAAACTGAAAAAACTTTTTTCACCGCCTCGAGTTAAAAGTGAAATTAATTACATTCTTCAATTGACACTGAAATATACAATGTCAAAAGCTTTTACGAACTCGGCATTTTATTGAGTGAATAAATTTTTAAAGACGCTAATAAAAGAGGAGTTTGAGTGACTTAATTAAGATAGAAACCTTTCTTGGTTGAAAATAAAATCAAAATTTCGAAATCAGTTTCGAAAATTTTTCTGCATTTATTCAGAGTAAAAGAATTTCTCCGATACGCTGTTACGCGACAGTTTATTTACTTAGTTTTTTAACGAAGACATTTTTATTATTTAGTTTTTTATTTTGGAAAATGCAAACGATATTTCAGAAAACAAGAACAACTACTTATTTCTGCAAAAGATTCAATTGGAGTTTTCATTAATCGCGTTTTTAAATGTTGGAAAACATTTTCTTTGATAGTACGACGAATTTATGTTTCACTGATTTTAAACAATACCCCTACTAAAATGAAATAAAATTCAATACATTAAATTTCTTTGTTTACTTTACAAAAAAATTTTTACAATAGAACGTTACAATTTAGTAACTAATTATACTTTTTATAATTATTCTGATCAGATTTTCTCAAACTTCGAATGCAAATTACTCAAAACTTGAAAGCCCTGAACTCTAAGTAAAAATTTTAATTTCTCTTCGTATAAATTTTTCAAATACACTCTATAACAAAAAAATCGAAGCACCAAGAAGGAAATGTCCGATTGAAACGAAAATTGGTGGATAGGAAGACAATGTACAGAATAGTAAATGATTAAAATTTCAGAACAATGGAATAATTTATTGCAGAGTTACAGTAACAAGTTCAATAAGGTGTTCACTCGCCTCTAGCCTGGATACAAGCTGCCACACGGCGTGGCATAGACCGATAAAGCTCCCGGATGGTCTCTTGCGGTATTTCCTGCCAAATTCGATCCAATTGTCGAACGAGGTCATCAACATTCCTTGCCAGATGCAATCGCCTTCCCATCATATCCCGGACATGCTCGATGGGAGAGAGATCTGGTGATCTGGCAGGCCAAGGAAGAGTTTGACAAGCTTACAGACAGTTAATAACAACACGTGCCGTATGTGGTCTGGCATTGCCCTGCTGAAAAACCAGCCCTGGGAGCTGCAAAAGGAACGGTAGCAAAACAGGTCTTAGGATGTCGTCGACATACCGCTGTGCAGTAAGTGTACCTCAAATGACGACCAAAGGGGTCCGGCTGTCAAGGGAAATGGCACCCCAGAACATAATGCTTTGTTGAAGGCCAGTGTGGCGTGCAATAGTGAAGGCAGGATCCCCCCTCTGCCCTGTGCGTCTCCAAACACGCCTTCGATGATCGTCAGGACACAGTTGGAAGCGGGATTCGTCGCTAAAGACTATACGTCCCCAGTCGGCATCATTCCAGCCATATCTGTTTAAAACATTCATGCATACGAAATTTCAAAGCAATCGGATGATTGCTTCTAGGTGCGTCGATTTTTTTGTTATAGAGTGTATTTAAATTTTTCTATACAATAATTTTCACAACTTATTATTATTTAGTTTAGATATTTTCATAACTTGAGTAGAAAAAAGCCATAGTTTAAGTGCCCTAAACCCAAAGTTTAAATTTAAATTTTGCTTTTAATAAAGCACTCAGATTATGTTTAAAGCTTTAAATGTATTAATTTACACATTTTACAATTATCAAATCTAGATCTTCTCAAAGATAGCACAAGAAATATTACCCCACTTGTATAGATAACCATTAGGATCTGTATTAAAATTGTTAACAAGTGAAAAATAGTACTTTTTATTAATAAAAACCTCTTTATTTTGGAACTAATAATCCTATTAGGTTTTATTCAATTCACAACTAAAGATTGCACATACTTTCTCTTGTTTAGATAACAATGCTAGATATATAAATAGGTACAAGTCATAAATTGTTCTTTTTAAGCATAAAACCATAATAACTTTTAAACTATTAGTTTTATCGTCTCAAACTTGGTCTCATAGCATTCAGCAGAAAAAAATATTTCTACTAACTCAGCAGTAACAAAACACTCTTAATATTTAATTATTTTGTATAATTTTCTTCTTATTTTAAATGCTTCAAATATATTATTATTTTAAATATAAATATATGTTTAAATTTTCCTTTTTTTTCTGGAGCAACTGTTAGAAATTGTGGAGCTTGTTGAACTATAATATGGCTCAAATTTATTGCAGCCTTTCATATGATTCTAATTTAAACCGTATTACCATTCGCCTGAAACTGTATTGCGTGTAGAAGAACATGGTTCAATTTATCACCGTAATCAAGATTGCAGCAAATTTGAACTTTTAATGTGGTTCAAGGTACAGATAGTATGGCTCAACGGTTAGCAGATTTTTCGAAGCGTTTTGGGAAGCCAAATTGGAAAATGACCCTATAAATCGAAGCGCAAAATTTACACTCGCCATGGGTGATCAAATATTTAAGGTTAGAGATTAAGCTTTATGTTTTAAAATGTGGAGTTTTAAATTAAAGTAGATAAGCTTAGATTACAGTGCCTCACAGCGACGCGGTTAAGTGCTTTGAAATGGCATAGCTCTCCTTTTGAGAATAAAAAAATGCTGAACCCAGCTATTCACCTATGAATTGTTTTTGGAAACATTTAAATCTTATTTTGTTTTAATATTATAATTGCTATAAATATGCTTCGATTTTTAACTTTCTACATTCGCTTATGATTCCGGTCACCAAAGAGTTTTTCATCTATTACATACCGAGAAAGCAAAGTATGACCAAAATTACCCGAATGTGGTAACATTTACCAGTATACCATAAGCCTCGGTAATTTTTAACGAAGCGCTTTTGAAATGATTTTGGAAAAATTAACAATAAAATATGGTTTTATAACATATTTATAAATTGTGGTATTTTTATCATGTTACCTCTTATGATATTGCCATAAAAATCATTTATTCGATTGAATTAAATTTCCAGTTTTGTATTTTCTTCTTATTAAATGTGTGGCAATAACAACTGTTATTTTGAAAAACAGAAATTCCGGTAAACCGTTACCATATGAAAAATTACCAAATGAATGGTTTAAATACCGTATATATTAGTTTTGTTGAGCAGAATCATGGTTTTGTTTACCAGAAACAGCATTAGCATACAGTTCGGTAATTTTACCCGAATTTTTTTCTTCATACAAGGGTGTTCAAAAGTTCTAAATCTGTTCGTATTTTAAAATTTGTTCTTGTTTTTAATAAAAGTTAAATGATATAGCTCAAAACTTTTAGTCCAGCTAGTGCCTTTGGAACTGAAATTTCATGCTGAGCTATATATTTTATGCTAAGAAGAATCAACTTGACGTAAAAGTATTCGAAATTTCTTTAAAAAAAACTTTTCACCGAATTTTATATAATAAAATTTCATACCTTACAATTAAAAATTATCATTCAGCGAACAAGTTTCAAAAGTGAGTTAAGAGACTTTTTTGATTCGAGCAAGGCGAAGCATGCAAGAAGTAAAAAATAAAGACAAATTAAAATAAGGGAATATTTCAATTTAATATAAAGAACCCAAAACTTGAACAGCTCTCCTGATTAAACTATTCGAACCCTATTTTTCAGTTATTCCTATTTATTCCCATATTTCTATTTTTCCTACTTAGACAAAAATCCTAATTCATGGAAAAAAATTATATGATTTTGCATGCACTTAAATTTTTGCAACTCATGTTTACTTTTCATTAACTAAATGTCATATTATTTAAGCTTCTCCCTTTAAACTGTTAACATTTCATTTTAATACCGATTAAAAGTGATTTTTTTTAAAATTTATTTATTATTGAAAGTGATTGGCTATATTTATTTACATTTATTTCCTAAACTAGCTTCCCTAAAACATAGAATTCAATTCATTCAAAATTAAGTTACTATTTAAAAATTTAGTTTTTTTCCCTCTTAAGTTTCGGGTAAAGTATTGTCTAATCAAAAATCAATATCAATAATATATTTTCTAAACCACAGAGACTTACAAAATTACTTAATAAGAAACTGACGGCAAACAAAAAAGTTATGACTAAAACAAAACATCTGAACTCTTTAATGGAATTATATGCTTGACGACACATTAAATGGTGCTTTTTATTAATGAAATTAAGCATGTTCTTTTAAAAGATTAAAGAAAAACGACGTCTCTAATACTTATGAAATGGAAAAAAAAGGAAATTTGTGGGGGAAAAAATAACTTTTTTCAAAGGAAATAAGATTTTAAAAAAAATAAGTAAATTTGAAGTTGCAGCTAGAAATGGACTGTTCCGCCGGGGAAAAAAATATATATTATCAAGTAAAAAAATTATCAACATCATTTTTTATTAAAGAGAACATTTTAAAAGGAAATAACATTTCTTTTGAAATCAGTAATTAATGAGTTTTGAATCAGTAATGAAATCAGTAACCTTAATTCGGCGATCCAACTCGTCCCAAAGGTTCTCGATAGGGTTCAGGTCTGAGCTCTGGGCAGGCCAGTCCATTCGATTAACCCCATTGGCACCATACCAAGCCTTGGTGACCCTCGCGACATGACAGCTGGCATTGTCGTCCTGGAAGTAACAGGGGTTCACACCGTAAAACTGCCACAACGTAGGAAGCACATTGTCATCCAAAATCGTGCAGTAGGCATCTTACATGGGACTAATGCCGATGTTATTCCCTACACGATATATACGGGCGGAGGGCGTGACGTATCTCAGGACCGCAGATATAGTCATTTGCATAGGTGTCCAAATACTTATGGGTAGATAGTGTATTCATAGATCTCTGTATACCTCCATATCTCTTGAGGTTTCGAATTTTCTACACCAACCTCTTCGGTCCAAAACTGCCTGCTTCTCTAACTATTAGTCCAACGGGAAATGTCTCCTTTAAGCTTATCTGACGGGAGATCATTTTTGGTTGTCCTCTCTTCCTATGGTCATCTGGAGCCCAAGTGAATGTTGTTCTTATCGAATCAGATAGTTTGATTTGAAGAGCAAGACCGATCCAATTCAACGTCTCTTTTTAATATCTATAGTTAACATCTGTCCCTAAATGATCTGTAAAAAATTCCGTATGAAATTACAGTAAAAACCACCAGCACTCCGGTTGCCAGTACATTTTTCCGCAAAAACTATTTTTGCCATAAAAATTTACACCTTAATTTTCACAGTAATATTAACCGTAAAATCACTGAATCGCTGTAATATAATAAATATTTTCATAAAAATTACGGTATAAAATTTTAAGTTAAATATGGATTTTACGGATGCTGCATTGAGGGTGCCAGTATGTTTTGCCGTAATTTAATCCGGAATAATTTACAGTGCAAAGATTGATAGTTACAGTGTACCATTTAGTGAAAATTGCAGTTATTCAAGCTTTATACATATTAACTGAACTGTAGATGAGGCACCAGTGTCGAATCGAAACTTATTAATTTAACTTTTTTAATATATATTTGAGATATTTTGCGTTGTTCTATCTTATAGCAAATTTAAATTGTTAAGAAAATATATTAAGAAAGGTAGAAAACTACAATGTTATTGTTTTGACAAACAGGTCTGCGCCATCATATTTAGATTAAAAATCTGTTTTCGTTATTTTCTTATTTATAATAATATCAAATTAAACCTTAAAAAAGCAATTATAGTATAATGTTTTAAGATAAATGATTAAAAATATTATCGTTAATATATTTAAAAAAATTATGTTACTGCTTATTTAATAAAACATTGCACATAATTTCCCAATTTTCTGGACAGCATGCTGCTCTCGGTGAGGAATATGTTTTTTGATATTTGCATTCATATTTTTATGTTTATTTATTTAGTATAGTTACTGTTGTAATAAAAAAAAAGTATTTTATTACCGATAAAATAAAAACTTTTTGCTTATGTAAGATAGTTTTTTTTCTTTCTAAAATTAAAATAAAAGACGTATTTTATTACTTCGAATAAAAGTAAAATAAAACAAACCGCTTCTTGTACACTGTAAAAAAAAAAATAAGGATCAAACTAAGGTAAAAAGTACTGGCACGCTGAGTCCAACATCTGCAAAATCCAATTTTCCGTAAAATGCATTTTTACCGTAAATTTTATACCATACTTTTTACAGTTGCATTTAATTACATTGATTTAGTGACTTCACAGTATATATTTCTATAAAAATTATGGTAAATCAGATTTTTTGTTCGATAACATTTTAGGGTAAAAACGAATTTAACGGTTGAAGGTACTGGCACTCTGAATGCCTGTACTTTTTACAGTAATTTTTTACAGCATAATTGGGAAAACTGAATTGTTCATTTTTTTTACAGCTCTGTTGATGATCCATCGAAGAAAAATCGTCGTAATTCAATTGTAGTCATTCCACCAATGCAAATTTGTCCGGGTGATCTTTTAGTGTACAGCAAGGTTCTCAGTCAAAGGAATACATTATTAGGTATTTATAGAACAATTTATTATTCCTTATACTATTTAGAATTGAAAAACTTGGTGATAAGATTGTTCCTACCTCACCTTCTGTATCTAGAACAGAAGCATTTAATAAAGTTCACAAAAAAATTTTCCCTCAAAAATCACCGTAATCTATTGTTCTACATTTAAGATAGTCATAATACAGGATGATTTATCAATTACAAATTTGCTGGGGAAGTAGGACTCAGGATAAGAGATTGAGAATTGCGCAGCGATCCTTGAGCAAAAATGTCATCGTATGCAGCTTAGAGCACTTTATTACGAACTGAATATTTGAGAGCTTTTAAACCAGTATTTTTATTTATCGTAATTTTGTAATAAATATATGTTTTTTTTAATAACTTTTGACGAAAATTACATTCAAATTGGCCGAGATATAGCTATTTTATTGTAGTGTTTTGATATGGCGACTATAACTTGCATAGTTTGACAATTTGTTAGACAAATCAATTAATTATGATAAAGCAGTAATTTGTCAGCCTAAATTAATGCGCCTTGTCGCAATTATTTTATTTTAGAGCCGTCGTTGAACAGACGACCAAATTTTGAGTTTACGACCGATGACCGATGAGTTACGACCTCCGTAGTCTTGTAATTTTTAACACAAAGGATAAGGGAACTTTTGGATCAAGTATCGCAAGAAATTTGCCTTCGAGGTGGAATTTTTTTTTTTTTTTTTTGATGGAACTAGCTTGCATTTGTGTTACATCGAAAGGAAAACCACGAAAATCTCCCATGGTTTGCCTGATGGTAAGGGGACTCTAACCCATGATCCGTCTATCTGCTGAGGATATTTTACATCAGCACTGCGCTCGGTGCGAGCTGGGTACGGAATTCGTTTCAACCAGCCATCGCTGGGATTCGAACCCGGTTCACCTCATTAGAAGGTGAACGCTCTATCCCCTGAGCCACCACGACTCTTCCAAATTTTATAGCAGTGCTCTTTTGTATTCGAAAATTGTTAATCAATAAAGCACGATCTTAGGCACCCAAAGAAACCTCCGAATGATATCAAAACAACCAACTATTTAGCAGTTAATATTGACAACATAAAAACCGTAAAATATTTCCAGATATACCATATCGTTAGCAGAACAATTCAAGAGAAACCTATCCCTAACAGTGATGAGGGTATCAGCTACAAATATTTGATTGTCAACACATCAGCCAATCACGATTGTCAACATCGTGACATGGATCCTCACAGAAGATTAAACCTATGATGGATCCCTGGGCAAAGAAGCCCCCAACACGTTTATTCCCTTATTCTGCTTGCGTGCCTTAATTTAGTTGGTCAGCCTGCCTGTATAGCATCATCACGCAATGCCTTACTTAATGAAGTTATCTCCTTCAAACTGTGTTAACTGTTTTAAGTAAACAAAGAACTTTTCTTAAAACTAACATGACAGTAAATTATGAACACAAAACTGAGCTGTTTTTCTTCAAGAACGGTTTCAACTGATGTTGAAAGTAAAAGAAAGCTCTTGTACTCTATTATTTTATTTTATTTAAGAAATGCACTAAAGTTAAATATCAAATTTTGCATTATAGACTGATGAATAGTGCGCAAATAAGGGTGAACCTCCTTGAATAACTTTTGATCTAATGATCGGTTATAAAATTCATTCATTACACCATTATTAATTCATTTATCCAAAAATAATTACATGCAAAAATGAACTTTCAGTAAATATTTATTATTTTATTTAATAATAGTCAAAAAAATTTTAAATTGTAAGGTATGCAGTTTCTTACGTCATTTTAATGAATGGAAAAATACAAAACCTGCGCGAAATCGGACGAATTGTTGATGAGAAATCAACTTTCAAACATGCGGAATTCTTAAAAAATTTGATTTCTCAGGGGTTATTCGACCGATTTCGCTCATACGCGGAGGTTTTGTATTTTGCCGTGTAAAATTACATTCTTTAAAATGATGGAAAAAATTTTAGGCCTTACAATTCAAAATTTTTCAGACTATTATTAAATAAAATAATAAAATTAATAATATTTACTGAAAGTTATTTTTTGCATGGAATTACCTTTAGATAAACAAATTTTTTAATTAGTTTAAAAAATTTCGAGATATGACGAAATACGCAAAAAGTAAAATTAACACTGAGGGGGCCAAACTTTGAATTCCTCTCTTGACCAAACTATCTGAACGATATTTCCCAGATTACCCCCTATGTTTTGGGAGTCAGAAATTCAAATTCAACGAAAAAAAGGTATGTTTATTCAGAGAAAGTACATTTTGTCGTCAGAGTCCTTAACTGCACTAATAAATTAACATATTTGAGGGCACATTCTCGAACCATTAAGATTGAGTCCTAGAACGTGAAGATCCGATTATTAGATCAAAAGTTATTCAGGGAGGTCCGTGTTTTAATTTGCCTACTGTACTGATAACCCGAAAAGAGTCTTGATTGGTTAATCTTTTTTTTTCTTTATATGCACTTACACAAAATCGAAACTACATAACAGAGAAAGCTTCAAAGCATAGCAATTTAAAAAAATGGAGGAAAACGATAACTGCTTTCCATAAACAAATATTAAATGATTCATTAAAAGCAGTATCAAAACAATTAATTAAAATCAGAAATAAATCAGCATAGTTGTCGAAATTTTGCCTTCGTGGAGGACTTTTTTGATGGAGCTAACCCGCACTTGCGTTACATGGAGAGGAAGACCACGAGAACCTCCCACGGTTATCCTGACGACAAGGGGACTCTAACCCATAATCCATCTACCACTGAGGATATTTCACGTCAACACTGTGCTCGGTGCAAGCCGGGTGCGGAATTCATATCAACTGGGATTCGAACCCGGTTCGTCTCATTGGAAGGGCGAGCGCTCTATCCCCTGAGCCATCGCGGCTCTAGTGACCTAGTATGAGAAAAATCTTTTAACTGTTTTTATCTAAAAAGCTTTTTTTTATTAAAATAATATTCAAGTGTTAAAAAGTTTAAAACTATAGTGGCCGTATAAAAATGTCTGACAATTTACCAAAAAATTATATCTAAAGTAATATGATAATCAAGAAGAGTATCAATTTGACAATAAATTCCAACCGTGCATTTATTTATACAAAATTCAAAATCATAAAATAATTCCGGAAAAATAAAAGTAAATATAAAAAATAATAGTCAAATGATTTGAAAAAAGTAGAGTTATTGAATGCTTAGCAAAACTGCAAGGAAAAACTTAAATTTTAACTGGCAGTTTTAATCCATTGATGATAAAGATGAAAAACAGAGAAAACCCGCTTTGTCAATAAAATAGCTTTAAACCGTCAGATACGCAGAAAAAAATCTGTAAAAGGAACTGGAAGTTTTTACAGTGAGCAGATAACGGATAAAAAGAGAAAAAACTATATTTTACTTTGAACAGTTTTTCTCTGTGAAAAAGAAATGTTTTTCTTCTGTAGAATTTATTTATCTTTTACAGTGAATGAATTCAAACAATAAATAAATAATTTTGTTAAGTTCAGATTTATGTTATTTAACATTATTCTCAGGAAACTGTAGTGTATAAATATATTTAAGTAGTTCGCTGTTTTTTCATCATCTAGAACAACCTAATGCAAATGAAATTTCTAAATGAATTCAGTAATTTCTATTTCCCAGGAAACCAACTTTTAAAACCCAATAATTAAGTGATGAAGTTAATTAAATAAAGCCGTAATTCAAATCAATTTTTTTATTTCTACTCTAGATACTTCACTTTACTAGCATAATGCAACTTGTTAAATTATTCTGTGCCATAATTTATTTCAATACTGTGTAAAAAGAAAACGATAGAATGTATTACTTGCAACTCACTATATCCCTTCATGGTTGCGAAATCCTTCCTTTTTACTTCGCCTTTGGTGCCAACTAAACAAATAAAAAAAATCTTTTGTGAACATCTTTCTAAAACTCCCAAAACGCCAAAGCAATCTATTTATCTCCGATCCGTGCGGCAAAATTCTTTATTAGATGAGGAGTAAAGTCTTAGAAGAATATCGCTATTGCGTTGTCAAGGGAGTCATACTACTTCTGATGAGATTTTTCTCTTAAAGGGTGGCATCAGAATGTTAGAGAACTACATTAAGTGATCAAAGAATGGCAACAAAGTTTGAATCAAAAAGAAATTCTTCTTTAACGTTTCGAAATGGCCAGAGAATAATGGTGCAGACGATAGTTTTATATGATGTATCACCTGCGCAATTCAAAACTAATTGAATTTTTTTGTTATTTAAATATTTAATTACCCTGGAAATTTTGAAATTTAACTGAATAACTCATTACTAATTCTAACCAGTAAGCAAAATAAGTAAAATCAGAATGACATTTAATAGCGGGTGTATTGTGACGCAAAAAAATATAATGGCATGCAATACTAAATGTAATTAAGTTTTGTTGTAAAAATTTGAAAAATACTGAAACAAAAAACTATATTCATCATTTTTTATCATTGCCCACATTTTTTTATTTATTGTTATTTTTGCTGTGAAATTCAGTTTCCAAACTGAAAAAAAACTCAAAAATAAATGGATGGTTCCATAATAATGGCCTAAAGAACTGCTCGTTCGTGAATCATAGAATAAATTGATGTAAAAGCAATAATGTATTGAAGATATTTAAATCAACGATGATTATACATCTGAATAAATTTATATATAAAATTTTTAAGTGCTTTTGGACTGAATGATCCTATGTTTCTCTATTTAATTACTTTTAATATTTAAATCGACATCATATCTTAAAGAATTATTCCCGTCAAAAAGATTTTTTCAACCATTTTGAACTACCTTTATTGTGGCTTGCCATACTGTTACTTAACTCAAGGTAAGAAAATACATAAGCTTAAAAATTTGTGGCTTATTACTAGCAGAAGTCCAAATTCTTAGTAAGCCTAAATAATAAAACCGTGTTATATCATTCCTATAAAATAAAATTATAATTATTTCTGCATTTATCCGATTGTATTTCCCTACAAACATGCCAAATACTTAACTAGAAACATTACTGTCAGTAAATTCAAGTCCCGCAGTGGACTAATGATCGTTAAGACACGGCTCCCAGCAGATCACCGAAGTCAAGCATCACTGACTGCGGTTAGTGAGCGTGTGGGTGACAACTTGGATTAGTCTGCGTAGGAACCGAGGGTGTGCGGTATTGGTCCTCGTTAAACTGTTCTACCGTACGACTTCGCGTGTAGGTCGTCGGGCTACCGAAGCAGGGTTGCCATCCCCTCTGCAGAGGATCAAAACTGTGATGGCATGTCTTCGGATCATCCTCAGGGATGTTTCCCAGAGCGTCGCCAATAGCCCATTGTGCAGCTCTAGTGCGACGTCTAGTGCCTACAACAATAAAGTCAGTAAATTCAAATTTTGCATTCGAAATTTTTACCATCTTATCCAGGGTCGGTTACTTAAAAAGTGTTTTTTTCCCGCTATACACAACAAATGAAGAGATCAAACTCATATAGTTGAAGTTTGAAGTTCTAAATCATCCTTTATAATCTCCGGATTTGTCTCCTATTGACTAACGTTTCTCAAAACATTCAGAATTAGTTTAAAATTTTTCAAGCAGTAAATGATGCATAAATAAATAAAACACATGATCAAACATAAGATTCTTTTAGTACTATGACGTAGATCGGTATATGTGATCGTTTTGGAGTTACATAATTAAGTGTAGAAGCACAGAATTTTTTCCCACTATTACCGAATTTCGACACGGGAAAAATTCCTCATTATTACACCGAAACAGTCGTACGTCTGTTTATGAATCCTCATTCGTGTATTTTTCCAGTTAATTATCTTTATGTACAGAACAAAATCAAACTTTTGTTTCTTTGGTACATAAATGATATGTAATCGACGGATTGCATTTATGTAAATAGTTTTTTCATAAAATCTGTTCGAATTATGTTGCCTTGAGGAGCTTTTAAACTTATTTTCATATTTAATAACCTAATAACGATAATAATTTTCGGTGCATTAAATGTTTTAATTTATTTTGTTTTTAGCTAATAAAATTCCCTTTATCAAAACTAAAAAAAAAAAATTATCATACTTTTTTTTATATTGAAAGTTAAAAGAAATGTTACTAAAATTTTATATTAATAAGATTTGTGCAAGCACAATATAACAATGAATCATATTATGAGGGTTCAAGCTACAAGCTTTTATTTATTTTTATTGTTTTCTTTCAAAATATTTTAAATGATCATCCCTATATCAATGTTTGCTGTATTTATTATTTTTACAATGCTTGAAAGCCTCATTCATTTAATAATACAACTTTCAAGCATATTCCCTTATAACAATGAATGAAATATTCATTTTTCTTCCGATGCTCGAAAACTTATTTCACTAACAGAACTTGAATTGTTTATCCCTTTCAGTGGATGAGTTATTCATACTTTTCAATATAGTACTTGAATTCTGCATTATCATATTTCACCCCGTATGAATTGTTCAGCACTTTTATAATGCTTGAAATGGCACCCCATTTTAAAATGTTTTCCATTTTAAATTAAAAATACCTTCGCTATTTTTCACAATGATTTAACTGCATTGCGACAGTGCTAAAACTACTTATTCCTTTCACATATTGCTTGAACATTTTCGTCCCAAATATAATAAAAGATATGTTGATTTCTTTCAACATTTAAGTCGCTTGCATCATTCAACGAACCTAAACTCGGTAAAATTAAGAAAAATTATATGAACAATTTCAATATTCTTCATGTAATTATATAGAAATTCACATTTCAATATGAATAAAGATGCACAAAATGAAGAATATGAAACAGGAAAATTTATTGAATTACTTAACACTTCCTCGTGCTGTAAACTGTTTATATACTTAATTGAATTGAATCTCTTCTCTTTTCACTACTCTCTTTTCAATGTTTCATTAAAATTGAATCTCTTTTCAATTTTTCCAGTGTTCAATCTAAAATACTTAAAATTTTTAGTTTAGTTTTCAGTATTATAGATATGTCTTAACTGCTTACTTGACACTGCTTAATTTATAAAAATTCTGTAACTGTCTATTTTTTCATACTTTTGAAACAGTTAACAAGACGATATATCGCGTGAGAAATTTTTCATAAGAAATTCTGTTTTATATCCATCCGTATCATAAAATTTATACATAGTTTACATCAAAATACAAACAAATTTGTGCAGGATTACTACACCGCAGCATAATTCTGAGTAATCCTTTAACAATTTGTTTACATTTTATTATTACCATAACCTCACAGCGTAATCTTGAGTGATCCTTTCATAATTTGTTTGCATTTTGATATTACTACCCTGTAACATAATTTTGAGTAATCCTTCCATAATTTGTATGCATTTTGATATTGCTACCCGCTGCGCAATCCAGAGTAATCCTTCCATAATTTCTTTGTATTTGGATATTACTATACCGCACCGTAATCCTGAATAATCCTTTCATACTTTTTTGCATTTTAATAAATTTTGATAAACCCCGAAGCGTAATCCTGAGTAATCCTTCAATAATTTGTTTACATTTTGATATTACTACCCCGCAACGTAATCCTGAATAGTATTTTCATAATTTGTTTGCATTTTGATGTTACTATCCCGCAGCGTAATCCTGAGTAATCCTTCCATAATTTGTTTGCATTTTGATATTACTACCCCGCAACGCAATCCTGAATAATCTTTTCATCATTTGTTTGCATTTTGATGTTACTATCCCGCAGCGTAATCCTGAGTAATCCTTCCATAATTTGTTTGAATTTAGAAACATACTTTGAAAAAAAAAACATTTTTTAGCATTTAACTTCGTGGTTTACTCTAAGTTTACCAGAGCTAATTTTTTCTATACTTTAAATTTTAAATTACTTGTAGAAAAAGTAGAATTGGAGAATTAGCCTATGCCTCGATATAGAGTCCTCTTTAGCACCACAACAATAAAAGTAAAATTGAACGCAATATTTTAACGGTTGATAGTGAAATACGTGCTTTTAAACAAAACACGGTATGGTTACTACTTAAAATAAATTATTATACATAATGCAGCACACAGAGTTCATGCAATAAACGGGCTTGTAAAATCTGTCCTATGGTCGGTCGCTGAGCAGTACCAGGAATACAGGGATCTGGAAAAAATTTCCTTCCTCTTCAGATTTATGTCTAAATTGTGGAATTAGCTTAATGAATAAGTGGTGCTGCCATCTGTCGAGGAAATTCCAAGCTTAGTCCTACTACCACCCTTGTGGTGTTCATTAGTCAAACGAAAGGTGCTCCTTCCTGACTAAATTCACAAGGTCAGTGACTAGCTAGCTTGGATTGGAGTCACCATAAACAACGCTGCGTGCGAACTTTAAAAGGAGCCACACAACATCACATAGCTGTTTGAGGATTATAACATTATTTTAAAAAAACAAGTTCTATGAAATTTATAAAAAAAAAACTTCGTCATTTTAAAACTGATTATTTTATGTTGCAGATTACGATGGATCAACGCAAAACTTATCGATGTCTGAAGGTATTGTTTCGTTTAAGTTTTGAGTCATTTTCAAACATTCTTGTTGAAAAATGTATGGTTGTATGAATACTATGTATGAAACATTGTATAAATTGCATGCATTTTATCATTTTAACAGTTTACAATATTTATTAATAATTATTTCATTTCATCACATTAACATGCTTTTCTGAACACTTTGTAATAATTTCGAGATTAAGGGTGACTAAACGTGACAATTTTCCCCCACAATGATTTCAATTAATTGCTCAAAATTGTAACAATGATTAAAAATGGAACTTCTTCATCCAGTTTTGATTTTACTGGAAATCACTAAATACAGGGTTTTCGAAAAGTATAAGAAAGGTGAAAAATCTCGCATCAAAAATTTAAATTGAGCCATGAAACACTTTTCAAATGATGCAGTTGATTATATCAAATTCGTCCCTTACCCTCAAACTTCGACCTACCCTCTGGGACATGCCCCAGCTTCTGAGGATTGGGAGAAAATAATTTTGAAATAAATGAAAACGTCTGTTTTTATCTCTACGATCTCACATGTATTTCTCAAAATATCTCCATGTAGTCATTTTCATTTTACTTCACGTGTATTTTACAAAATATCTCCATGTAGTCATTTTCATTTTACTTCACATGTATTTTGCAAAATATCTCCATGTAGTCATTTTCATTTTACTTCACATGTACTTCACAAAATATCTCCATGTAGTCATTTTCATTTTACTTCACATGTATTTTACAAAATATTTCCATGTAGTCATTTTCATTTTACTTCACGTGTATTTTACAAAATATCTCCACGTACTTGTCATTTTCATTTTACTATTATAGCGCGATCTGTGATCTAAAATGCGAAAGCCCGTAAATCAAAATAGGATACATATTTCTGGAAAATTCATATCTGCAATCAAAAATGGCGTTTCTTACTGAAACTTTTGACGCTGCCTTTTACCTCACGACCTCCATGCTGTGAGGTTGAGGGGTCGAGTTTGGTATTATTTATTTTTCAATTGCCACACACCATTACAAACTATGCCATTAGTGCACGTGCCCACCAGTATTTTTCAATTGCACAATTAAAATTCAGCAGTGGAGGACACACGTCTAAATGTTCAGGAGTCGTAAGAAGGTTGGAGTCACAAAGAGAACGATGAGGTGAATCTTAGACAGTCATATCCAGTTAAAAGTCTAAGAAAGCAAGCGCCAGTTACTTTTCTTGGAGAGTTAGGAACAGTTGGGTACTATTAAATGCATCTCTTAAAAATATTTTACATTTTTAGATTTTTCATCGGATGCTTATTTCTTGAGCTATTTGATAGCTTCCATACTTTTCGGAATGCTATATATCGTACTCGAGTTAAATATATATTGATATTTTTTCTTAAATGCATGTTTTTAGTTTTTGCTAACATTGTTACTGTTGTTATTATTATCATTGTTATTATAATATGTGCCATGTTTTTCAGACCGAATTAAACAACAATAATTATTGAAATAATTGCACGGTAGCCAACTTGAAAAGAATAATCGAAAAAATTTTCATGATTTGTTAAAACAGTAAAAAGTTATTGTTCGATTTTTATTATTAATACATCACAAACTATGAATATATATATNTATATATATATAAAAATTAGTTCCTTATTCAAATGCAAAATACTTTTTTAAATTGGAAGTCTATATCCTAGATTTATGAAATTTGGAGAACCTGTTAGGTAAAAAATAATTTCGCCTTTTTTTCTTAACCATAATAATTAATAGTTATTTTTCCAAATAACTAAACTATTTTTTACTGAATTTTCAACAAAAAAAACTATTTTTATCTTTGACTGCTATTTTCACTAAAAAAAATTCCTATCATATTTTTTAATAAAATAAGACACATCATTGCACTTTTTCAGTTAAAATTTGTCAGCGATAAATTGTAAGTTCTGTTAACTTATAAAATTTAATTATTTTTAAATAATAGGAAATTACGAAATTTTCCTTAGAATTATTTTGGTAACTCTCCAAACTGAATCAATAAGTTAATTTTTTTGTTGCTAATTTGTTTCCTTTTACCTTTCACTTGTATGCACATAGTAACTTTGCAACTAATTCGCTTGATGTACTTTTTAAATTGATACTGAGAGAAATACTTTTAATTGATATTTTACAGGTTTTCTAAATTTGAGAGGTATGTTACTTTTCTCAATTGTTATTACAACTTGGACCATGCAGATTTAAAACAGTGTTAGTTAAAGCTTTTAAAAATATCTTAATTGTGCTTATTTAATTATTCACAAAATACATTTAAAGTGTTTGCAAAGTTTGTTTCCAAAGTTATTCAAAAAATTACCTCATTAAATATAAGCAAACTTGATCTTAAATTGGTCATGAAGATATCAGAATTTTTAAAAAAGTACAAATAAACTATTAATTCCCGTGAAACAAATTATACTCACTTGCACAATTATATAATTTTATATTTAGCAACAAATTCTATTAAAACTACATAAACCTAATTTAAAAATAAAATTTCAAGAGAAAAAGCAATTCCTTTCTTATTTTATTTTTAACTACTAAAACCTAAATGACATTTCTAAATCTATTCTATGTCTTACCTTATTTTTTTAAGAACATTTCTGATATCATTGTTGCGAAATGTATTTTTAACTAATGCAAAGTAATTGACTTTTTAGCTAAATCATTCAAAAACTAATCAGTAAAAACAGTTAACAACCCAAATTGTTATCAGTAAAAAAAATATCAATATCCTTTTCACAAATGGTGTCCGTGAATTTTTGTTTTAAAATGAAATATGCATGAGATGCTTTATTGAAAATAAATGAGTTTTAAATCTTTAGCTCAAAAATTTGATTTAATATTTACAGATTCATCAAGAAAAGGCAAAAATACATGGTCCCTGCTTCGCCTGGTAGGTAATTGTAAAACGAAATATTTTCGTTGTAGTACATGACATTACTTTCGATTTTTCTTTTAACTTTCTTTTTTTAAAAACATATTATGTTAATACCCATTTTGAATTTTTTAGTTTGATCGATCCGGTCGAAGCAAATCTGAATCTCTATGCGGACTAGAAGAAGTTCTTAGTAATTTGCAGCCTTCTGAATTTATTGATGAGCATCTAGCTAAATACAAAGTAAAAATCTACGTGACTTTGTTTAGATTTTTGTACCATTTTAATTCTTTCTTTCTTTCTCATTGGCTGGAGTCGTAAAAAGAATAGAAACATAATTTTAATTTTAAGAAAGCAACAATAATATCGAAAGTGATCGCTCCATAAGTCCTCTGGTTTCTCAATATCACAATGATTTCGTACATCCATAGCAGATACGCGAGTGATATTTGTCTTCTGTCTTACAGAAAGCATTCTGAATTTATTGATGAGCATCTAGCTAAGTACAAAGTAAAAATCTACGTGACTTTACGTTTAGATTTTTATACCATTTTAATTCTTTCTTTCTTTCTCATTGGCTGGAGTCGTAAAAAGAATAGAAACATAATTTTAATTTTAAGAAAGCAACAATAATATCGAAAGTGATCGCTCCATAAGTCCTCTGGTTTCTCAATATCACAATGATTTCGTACATCCATTTCAGATACGCGAGTGATATTCGTCTTCTGTCCTACAGAAAGCATTCTGAATTTATTGATGAGCATCTAGCTAAATACAAAGTAAAAATCTGCGTGACTTTACGTTTAGATTTTTTGTACCATTTTAATTCTTTCTTTCTTTTTCATTGGCTGGAGTCGTAAACAATAATAGAAACGTAATTTTAACAACAATAATATCGAAAGTTATCTCTTCATAAGTCCTCTGGTTTCTCAATATCTCAATGATTTCGTACATCCATAGCAGACACGCAAGTGATTTTTGTCTTACAGAAAGCAGGCAGCAATGCTTATACCAGGGGTTTCCAACTTACATGAGGCCGGAGGCCGCCATTTAAAACACCTGTCAATTGGCGGGCCGCAACTTTATAAAAATTTTATATAGGACTCTTAAATGTCTGAAGGAACATTAAATATTACAGTAAGATTTTTATCTAGTTGTACAATACAAAAGTATTGAATTTCAAATAATAATAAATATTTTCTTGGATACAAAACCTGAGAAATAAATTTTTTTGCACCGTTGGTATGTTAAATTTCATAGAAACGAAGAAATTAGGCTTTTTTTAATGAAAGAAAAGTATTTTCAACCCATATCGATTTTTTAAGAAAATTGTCCGCAAGAAAAAGATAATTGATATATACCTACTAGTTCGCGGGTCAAAAAATATAGACTTCGCGGGTCGGATGCGGCCCGAGGGGCGCCGCTTGGTAACCACTGCTATATACCATTTTAAAATAAGATTTGATATTTGATATATTGATCAGAAGCTAAACTAAGAGGCATGCAATCAGGAGGGTGCGTGTATCCAGGCGTGGAGCAAATGGAAAGATCCTTGACTGGAACTTCATTACTGAGTAGCAATAATGTGAGATATGACTGAAAGGCAAAAAGTAAAAATAACATTAAGGAAACCAAAGTTTTGAACGTTTATACCTTATTTCCAAAATTGTGGTTATCCCTCATATTTTGAAAGTCAAAAAACAAAATCTTTAACTTAAAAAAGACTGTTTCGTACTCGAATCCGCAATTAATTCATTTGTAAAACTAGTTAATTAGAATGTTAAAGTGCGCCGCTCAAACCGTTGAGATAACATATATTAAAAGTGAAAATCGAAATTATTGGATCAAATAAATTATTAGTTTTTTTACAATTATACTTATCCTTCTTCAAAATTATGTCAAGTGGTTTGTACGATGAATTTTATTTTATTTTTATAACCATCGTTGAACAGCCGACCCAATTTTGGGTTTAATACTACCAATGTTCAACTCCGTAGCCTTGTAATTTTGAACCCAATCCAGAATATTCCTAGATCAAGTATAGGGAGAAATGTGCTTTCGTCCAGGATTTTTTTGATGGGGCTAACCCGCGTTTGCGTTGCATGCAGAGAAAAACCACGAAAACTTTCACGGTTAGACTGGGACTCTAAATCATGATCCGTCTACCACTGAGGATATTTTACGTCAGCACTGCGGTCGGTGCAAGCCGGTTGCTGAAATCGTATCGGCTAGCCGTCACTGGGATTCGAACCCGGTTCACCTTATTGGGCAACGATAGCTATACTCCCTGAGCCAACATGGCTCTGTATAATGGATTGATGCGACGTTGTATAAGTTTTTAATTTTCATTAAATTAAACAAAATTGACAGCAAAATAAACGACATGAATGAGGAAGGAAGATGTGGCCAACAGGAATTAGAAAATTTAATTGGAATCATTTATGTTCAGAGTCATTTATCGACACAGAATCAACTCCTTATTGAAAATACCATCAACATTTCGGTCCTTTGGTCCGAAACAGAAAAAAAGTTTTAAACTTATTTTGTTGAACAAACAAAATGAGAAATATGAGTATTTTCGAAGTTACGAAAAAAATTGTACCCTATTGGAGAGCAATTTAATAGTTATGAAAAATTAAAAAAAAAAATTCTGAACTAATGAGAAATTTTCTGAATCTTTCTGAAAAAAACTTGTACAGTTTACTTCTTTTTCTTTGTTGGAGTTAGTTAAGAATCGATTTGGACTTTGAAAGTCCATTAGCTACATTTTTATTAACGAATATGTAAGTAAAATTATAAAATTATTTTAAAAAAAAAAGTGGCTCAAAGACGTTTGTTGACGGAATAAAGAATAGCACTTATTTTATTTGTGACTGTTCTAGATAAATTCACACAAAAAAAATTTAAATTTCAATAGACTTTAAAGACAATTTATGCATCGAAACCAATTTAAAATAAAAAAAATTCCTAAAAAGCCAATTGATAACTTTATCGATACAAGACTAAAGAAAAATTATATTGTCGTTCATATAAATATTTCATTTATTTCTCTTGCTTAAAAAAAATCATTTTCCTTTAAAATTATCAAAATAGCTTTGCTTAAAGAAGTTATTAATCTGTTAAAATAAAATTTTACATAAAAATTATCATAGTAAACAAGTTTACTTACATGTAATTCAAATAATCCTTTATTTTAAATATTTTTTCTAAGTTATAGTTTAAGAATATGCATTTGTAATTTAATATATGTATTTTTAATTTTGAAAGATATTTATAATGTTTAATAAATTATTACAAACATAATTTTGTTTATAACATTTTATTCTCATTTTCTCACAGAAAAACTATTTTATTCTTCAAAATAAATTTGTAACTATTTCATAAATTCGAATTACTTTTTCCTCTAAAGGGAATCCAATGGACGGAATTCGTTACAATGTGGGAAAGTCGTTCTCCTAAGGATTCCAGAGGTCTTTTCCGAAAAAATTCCAAACGTCACTCGAACAACTCCTCTGGATCTTCCACCCTTACAAGAACATTTTCACGCATTTTAGGCCCTACAGATGGAGAAAAAGATTCTACGAAAGAAAATTCAGTACCTAGCATAGTAAAAGTTCAAGAAAATGGACAAGTTACGGGAGAACCACCGCCATCTCCGATACACAAGTAAAAATAAAAGCTCATATTTTAAATTATATTCTTTGACTTTGGTATAATATTAATTTTAAGGTGGTTTGGTATGATATTAACTTTAAGGTAGTAATTTTAATATTATGGTTGTGGTAATCTGTTATCTCAAATTAAGCTCTAAATCTTAGAATAAGTATTTTATCAAATGCATTTCCCATTATGCGTCAACCTTATTGTGCAACAATGTACTGAGAATTCCCGATTAGTTAAGTTTATACAGAAATTTCCCGATTACTTAGATGTAAAATCCCATTTGTTATGGCCCGAAGAAGTTTCACAAATAACTAGGTTTGTGCAGATATGTCCGGAATTATTGGTTCCGATGAAATTCCATAATTAGTTAGATCTTGAATCTGTCTAGTTGGGTTTGTACAGAAATTTCTTGATTATCAAATTTTCTGATTAGTTAGATTCGCATAGAAATTCCCCATTAACTTTGGTTAATATATCCAATCAGTTAAGTCTTGCAGAAATTTCTTAACTTGATTTTGTACTTTACTCTTTCATCGTGACGGACGAGATAACTCGTCTACCAAGAATATTCGCTGTGCGCTGGGGACGAAATAACTCGTCTTCAACGAAATGACTTTCTGTATTATTGGAGCGTGTTCAGAGACTTATTTATAGACATTTTAGCACATTCCAGTCAATAATATTTTGTCTTTACAACATTTCTACAAGATGGCTCCAACAGACAGCGCAATTTATAGAGCCCTTGCGAAGTGTTTGCAACATATTCGATTTTATTATTGTTTTATTTTATTATAATTTTTATCTCTACAAACAATTATATTTGGATCTCAAAACGTTATCAATAGGCTCTCGAAGACGGGAGTTCCGAATATATTAGTCTTAAGCCTAACTTTGATCGTTGAATTTTTGGATGTAGGTTGCCAAAGCTTCTCGGAAAACAAAAATTAAATCTTTAAAAAGGAAAAATAATTGAAAATAATGTTTCGTGTTTTGTAGTTTGCTTGTTTTTTAAATCCTATTATTATTTGTAGTTTTACTTTATAACGTAACTCTTTCAAAATCATAAGCTGAAAAATTCGTGGAAATCACAAATTGTATTGAAGACATGGTATCATATGAGTAATGATTGAAATGAGCAAATTTTAATTTGTCTCGTATGAGTAAATTAAACATTTACTAAATTTACATAATGATGATTTTTTTCATTTCGGGAATTAAATATTTGTTTGTTTTTAAGCATTGATGAATATTTAATGAACAATGTTAATTTCAAAATAGGTTTTAAAGTTGAGAGGCTGTTATGATTTCGAATTTCGGATAGGCACTGGAACGAGTTGAAAAACTCTGATGGTGTTAACAATCAAATCAGTCATAAAATTATTATTATTTGCGCTTTATAATGTTTCTCTGATCTTATCTCAAAGCATTATGTTTCTTTTCTTAAGAGATTTAATGTCATACAAACCTATAGTACATTCAAACCTCCAGCAAAGACCACCTCTATGTACGACCACTTTTGAAAGGCAAGGAATTCTTTCCATAGACTTTGTGTCGAAGAAAACCTTTAAGAGAGACCATTAAGACCTCTCCCAGCGACTGGACAAGCATTTGCACCAAATGCGGAAAAGGTCAAATAAGGAAACATGAAAAAAATTATCAAAATAAGAAATTTAACAAAACAAATAAGTAGATTAAAATCTATTCAAAATATTTGTGTGAAGCTCTAATTTAGCGATTTTGTTTTTTTGTTTTTTTTTTTTTTGACGACACAACCTCATGTTGCATTCAGAATGCACTAAAGATGATGCTATCCATGGTTTACTTTTAGAATTGAAAGTTAAATTTTAAAAAAACAAGCATCTCAAACAAACCTTTTCTAATCTCTTAAAACTAACTAATTTTTATGATGTAAAATTAAATACAAACTTAAACAAAAAACATAATTGTTTAGTTATTTGAAATAGCTTCTTCATTCATAACTGGTAAATTAGTTTTTACACATAATTATATTAGTTGGGATCGCTAAATTTTATTCATAAGTCCGTCTTTTCATGACGCAACAAAAGAGGCATTTCCGCACCAAAAAAATGACACTGACTAAAAAAAAATCATATGCAAAAAAATCATGTACTTTTGATACCAATTTTGAAGTCAATGGAGGTAACCTCTAAGAACGACCAACATCCATCAACGACCATTTTATTGTGAAACGGAGAATGGTCTGTATAACTATGTACGTTTTTCTGATGGGTATTATACAAAAACTAGAGAAAAATTGAACTTAATTTTGCAGAAACAATTCCAAATTGCTTAAAATGCCTTTAATGTTTTGCAGCAACTACGACGGATCTGCGGAGATAGCCAAAGACAAAAATGACAATTCCTTCTCAACATTAAACGAAATAGAGAATCAAATCAACAATCTGGACACTTTAACCCGTTCAAGGAATGAATTAAAAAGAAGAGAAGCACTCTGGGACTTATTCCAAAGCGAATGCATGTTTCTGGATGACCATCTCATGGTACTGAGGAATGTAAGTACTCTGGAACACCAAACCTCAATTATCTCTTAAATTCGACCAGTTGGTGTGGCGAATGTAGTCCACAACTCTCACAGCTTGGCCAGAGATTCATTGATTCACTGTGCCTGAGTCCCTCGATCATGTTTTAGTGGTTCTAAATACACTCTAGTGTTCCCGAAAGTTTGAGAATCAAGAAATTCCACGAACGGTTGGGAGATAGGAGAGTGGGTTACGGAGACCGAGATAATCACTCTTCGACCTAAACTGAGGTAGTGTTGTGGGCACATGCTGCAGTATACTGTCTTCAAATCGTTATTAAATACCATTAAGCTATCACCAAAATCTAACTGTTGTGGTTTCAGTGCGACTTTAATAACCAAAAAATTCTAAATTAAAATGGCGGAACACGAAACCCATCAGATTAAAAACATATAAATAGACTGTAATAAATATACATGCTGCAGTATACTGTCTTCAGATCGTTCTCAAATACCACTAAGCTATCACCAAAATCTAACTGTTGTGGTTTCAGTACGACTTTAATAACCTAAAAATTCTAACTTAAAATGGCGGAACACAAAACCCATCAGATTAAAAATATATAAATAGACTGTAATAAATATACATGCTGCAGTATACTGTCTTCAGATCGTTCTTAAATACCACTAAGCTATCACCAAAATCTAACTGTTGTGGTTTCAGTGCGACTTTAATAACCAAAAAATTCTAACATATAACATATAAATAGAAACATAGAGACATTAGAAACATATAAATAGACAAGTTTCAAATTTTTTTAAAAGAATCAAACAGTATTAATTTTTTCTAGAGAATTCAAATCTGCAGTAAAAGAAATTCATATTTAAGATCTCAAAGATGTCCCGAAAGAATGGGCGGGGAAGATCGAGTTTTGTATCATTGTATAGCTTTTAAAAATATTGAATGTGAATAGTTTCCCTTTTTCGATCCAATGTATATTTCTCGGGATATTTGGCCTAATTTAAATAGGGTTAATAATAATATGATTAATTTTTATTAAAATTAATCCTATTTGATCCATGGGTTTATGCAATTTGCTCATAAATCTCGCTGCAACCGATAGAACTAAAATAGGGTACAAACTGCTGAAAGTAGTGGTTTCTCGTGACTCGTGAGATTTAAAAAAAAATAAGTAAGTAGAAATGCTTCAGCATTTTTTTTTTTTTTTTTNTCCCTCCTTTTTTTTTTTTTTTTTTTAATTTTTTTTTTTTAATTTGAAACTTGTCTATATGTTTTTAATCTGGTGGTTTTCGAGTTCCGTCATTTTAAACAGTTTGTAATTTAAATAGGGTTAATAATAATAATATTATTAACTTTTTCTGGAAAATCCAAAACTGCAATGAAAAACAGGGGTTCGTCGTGAGGATTTCAAAGTTGCTCCCCCAGGGGTGAAAGATCGAATTTGGTATCATTGAATAGCTTTTTTAAAAAAAATATAAAATGCATCTATTTTCACTTTTTCGATCAGTTGTATATTTATCAAGCTATTTCACCGTTTGTATATGTTTACACCTAGTATATGTCAAACAGTTACATATCAAGAAGTATTAAAAACAAATAATGCTATAAAAATTTAACCCTCCAACAAGTGTTTGTTATTACTTAAGTGTTTAAATTGTCTATAAAAAAAGGTGATGAGTCTTTCTAACTAGACTAATATTTAGTAAATACAGACTAACATTTTTCATGTATGCAGGCATATGTGCTCTATATACAATACAAAAACCTTTAAAATTCATTGCGCCCAATTCTGTATAGATTAAACGATGAAAGATTTTTTTTTCTTTTTTTATTTCCAATGCCCACATGTGTTAACATTTCGTCAATTCAGGCATTTACAGGACTAATGTGTTGGCCACGCTTTCAGGTGCTCCATATTAGGTGAGCCAACGTTGCTCCCACAGTAAGGATAGATAGTACAGGGAATGAAAGAACATCCACGCCTTACCCGGGATTCGAACCCAAAACCTTTTTGAAGCGCGACCAGTTTCCTGACCCCTACACAGTGCGGTAGGCAAAGGATGAAAGATTGATAGACTAAATATTGAAAAGAAATTCTATTCTTGAATGATTCATCTCGGAATATGTAATTTTTGAAGAAGAAAAAAAATTCATTATAATCTATAAAATTAATGCGCATAATTATCATCAGAAATTAAAGAATAATCTTTGAAACTTATTCAAATATCCCTTGCACAAATGAACTAAAATATTTGAAACATACTCAATTATCACTCACAAAAAATTAATGTTTGCATGAAAAATTTTTGCAATATATACTTATTTCTTCACGTTCTACTTTTGAATGACTAAAATCTAGATTTGAAAATATTTAACAACTGATTTAAGCAGAAATAAAGTCAAAATGCAAGTTTAATACATATTAAAATGTCAATACCAAATATAAAATTTTAATAATATTGCAATCGTTGTATTTAAGGTGTTCATGGAGCCTTTGAAGAAAATACAGGTGGAAGGTTTTGCAATGTTTGCTGAACCCGAAGTTCTTTTTGGAAATTTAGATGAGCTATGTTTGGTAAGTCTAATGTTTATATTTTATCATCATGTTTTCAATGAACAGCAATACGGAAATATACATAATGAATCCATTAATGCTCCAACGCTCTAAAACCGTAATACCCATACCTATTTAGGAAACGCTCCAAAAGTTCTCAGCTCACGGGCATTCTATTTTTGACACAAGCTATTTTTAGAATTTATTTCAATTAAGTTTCATCAAAGGCTGCGGGTAACAAGGTTGATCAATTTACTTTTTTTTTTCTTTAAAAAAATTTTTTATAGTAAATAAATTTGTAAGAATGTGCTTTATTTTAACATCCCATATAACTTGAGATTTTGCATTGCATTTCAAAGTGTTACACATTTTTCACCAATTAAAATCAATATATAAAGCTCAATAAATAAATCCCAGCCGATTTCACAGCTTTCAATTATGGCATAGAACATATTATATTATTCAAACATTTAAACACGAGCTTTAATGGCTTGATAAACAAACTGGATTTACATGGTTTATGATAATGAAATTAGGTACAATAAAACAAAAATCAACATCATCATTCAAAATAAAAACATTTCTCAAAAAAATTAGCTATTTACTCTAGGAGTGGAAAGTATGATAAATTTGAAACAGGAAAAAGGATTTCTTTAAAATATACAATAGGCAGATAACAAAACAAAAAAAAATTTATACATTAATAAGAATTTTTAATATTCTAAAAATGTTAACTCGCTTAGTATGATGATTATTAAGTGACAAAAGAATTTTCGAAAAATGTCTATCTCTCAAACAATGCTTTTTTTTTTTTTTTGCTCGAAATTCGAGAACCTATACTGTCTATTGAGTTATATTTCATTTCCGCTGGCTTTATTTTACCCAGATTCTGATTATTTTATCCAGGTTTTGATTAAATAAAATACAACTCCTCGTTTAATATTGCTTTAAAATGCTAGTTTAACTAAAAAAAAAAAAAGATGGGGGAAATGCCATTAAATTAGAACAGTTAATAAGGTTAAAACTATAAAAATTATACTGATAAATAAGTTATAGTTATCTGGCATGGTGTTTACCTTATCTAATGTATTTCGTACACAAAAAGTGAAATCATCATCAAGAGGCCCAAAACTACGACAGGTCTCCTAACTTCAATATTGAGTGTCAAAAATCCAAATCCATCAGAGAAAAAAAAGTTTGTTTATTCAGAGAATGTACGTTTTCTGCCTGAGTCCCTTTATTTATCAAAAGACGACAATAATTGTACATTTAAGGTCAACCTTCAAGATTGAGTTATGAAAAAGAGACAGGTTAAAGAACAAACAAGTAAAATGTATCGAAATTTTCTTTTTGTTCGTATCTCCTTCATTCATCCTTCAATGTAACGTCAAATACAGAAGAAGAAAAAAAAAGACATGGACACTTGTTAATTTCAAATAGCCACAATAATGATTACACATAATATTATTAAGTAAAATATTTAAAAAATAACACAAAACGCACAAATAAGCAAATTCAGTACTATCATCAGCGGCCCAGTCTCTTATAGTTCTGGGTACTAACAATGGTAATAGGACAAAAAAGGCTTATTTATTCGTGCCTTTGCCCCGCGCCTGATTTATCATAAAGCCTGAGAGGCCCAGGCTAAGGGCCCTCTCATTTCTGGGGGCCCTCTAAAAGTTACAAATAATTTCTTTTTGTGTATTTGCTTAAGAATTGTTTAAAGTTATGAATTGATGATGACTGAAATAGATATCAAGCTCGAATATCGTAATTTACTTATAAAAACAATGAAAAATAGTGTAGTTTCTATAGCTTTAATAATTTTGATTTATCTTCTTATTATGTAATTTACTTATATATAAATAATTTAAAAACACTTCATTAAAAAACACATACATTTTGTTTAAAGTAACAACCAGGGAGCCCCTGGCAGTTCTGTGTCTTGGGCCCCCGCATTTCTAGGTCAGTAGAATGAAAATTCAAACATAAGTAAAGATATTATTATTAGGTCTGTATGATGCACATTTTTCATAAGCAGCAATACTTGCAAGCATTACTTCCAGCACAAAGAAAAATTCATCTAATTTTATGTTATTGTTAGAATCTGCATGATACACTTTTAGTCAATTTCATAGAAGTGGATAAACACTGCCAACACAAAGAAAACTTTACTTCTTTCAGGTGCTATTTTTAGGATTTGTGCAGCACTTATAGGTAACTTCATGTTGGAGGATAACAAAACAAGATCTTAAATTTAAAATGCAGAAAAATGTATAAGGTAGTAATAAAAGTGGTAAAAAAATAATTGCTTTACAATTTTTAACAAGTATTACCCACGAAGGGCGAAATGAGGAAAATTTTAGATATCCACTTCTCTTTTTTATTACTTTTTACACGTAGTGGCCGTATTTAACTCCTTCCCTGTTTTTTTTTTTTTTTTCCGCCATAACTTTTCACTGAAACTCCATTGAATGAATTATATTTTTCTTCATTTTACATCCAATCAAGAACTACTTACCTATTGCGTGCGTATCAAAAAGTATAGTGCTTGCTAATTGTAGCAAAACAGATTCCTGTATAAAAAAAATTTTTTTGCTCCTTTTACTATGTTTTTTGCACTACTCTAACACAAAACCAGTCTAGCTTGTAAAATGCATGTAACAATGTGTTTGGGAAGAAACATTTATGTGTATTTTTTACAGGTCTATGCAATTCATTTTTTACAAGATTTTAACTTTTATAACATAAAAATGTTTCAAAATATCAATTAAAACTATTGTTTTAGTTAATAAAATAATGACAATTATTCAACAATTAAGAGAAAAAGAAATTGAGAAGACTAAATAAAAAATGTCAATAAAAAATTGTGGACCAAACAAGGTAAGTCTAAAAAATTCTTTTTATTTAAAATATTTCTGACTGAGGACAAAGTAACTGTGTTTAGTTCTAGAACTGGAAGCAAATGTAAAATCAGTCTTCTCCTCTGTGGTAAATAGTGTGAGAGGGGGGAGGAACTATGAGACTATGGTCTTTTTAATAACTCTCAATGCAGAACATTTATTCAATTATATATTCTGATATAAAAGAAAGGTGAAAAAAAAACAAAGATCTACTTGGCTTTATAGATAATTTATGGAATAATGGTTGGCTTTGTTGATTATTTATAGGATTGTAATTGGCTTTATAGATAATTCATAGAATTTCCATAATCATTACATCCTTCATATGTCTAATATAGAAAGTAATTAATATTCAAGAAAGTTCTTAATATTAAAACTTAAAGGAGAGGGGGAAACAGATTCTTCAAAAATTTCAATCCTTATAAATAAATACTTCTCTAAACTAATTGTAGTTTACATTATTTATAACTTTGAAAAACTTTAATGTTCACAATTAAACAAGGATAAACAGATCTTTCAGTCTATCTAATTTTAAAAAACTCCAACTTCCAAACCTAAATCTTACAAAACTCCAACTTCAAAAAATAATTGCAGTATACACTATTTGTTATGCTAAATAGTTGTTTCACTTTTTAGCATCATTGCTTCATGTTGTAATTATTTTTTAAAATTGTGGATTTATTTGTAAAAAAAAGTTATGATTTATAGTTGAATAGTCTTAAATTTAAAATACAGCAGCAAAATTAATTCAATTTATAACGAAGAGTTAACAAGTTTCGATCATTTTTGTTTTATATAATACATTGAAAGTAGCGAGAAATAAAGGTTTTGTCACACAAAATAGAATAACAAAATAGCAGTTTATGAAAAGTAAGTATTCCTCTATTTATATATTTTAAATGAGTATAGTATAAAATATCCTTTTTAAATTTAAAATATATACAACTTAAGGTGAAATTAGAACTCAATTTAAATAACAATTAAATTAGATTCGCAGGAAAATTAGTTAATAGACATTTTGTTGTTTTAGTAAGATAAAAAAAAAGATAATCTGATAAAAACAGAGTTGGAAAGCCGTGTACACATTGTTTATTTGCACTTAAACTTTGAAAGCAAATAAGATGAAAACTAGCTTTTAATACATAGATTTTTTCTAAAAATCCCTTTTTTAAAAACATAAAAGTTTATATGTTAAAGAACAAATATACTAATATAAATATATAGTATGAATTTTTTTTTGCTTGACATTTTATACAATATTTACAGAAATAAAAGATTTTAATTAACTTTAAATTATTTAACAACACATTTTTTTAAAAAAAAAATCTATCCTTGATTTTAAATATTTTAGCAGACAAGATACTAAACAAACTTGACCAGTTTTATCAAAGCTAGACAGTAAATAAAGATAAAATGAAACACAGATAAATATGAGGATAGATAAATATAAAAAAGACACTTTTTAATAAATATCTTTATTAAACTATTTACAATAAATATAAATTAAAATACAGGTTAATTAAAATTTATGTGACAATGAAAATAAATAAAATAATAAATAAAAATTCATTTTACTAAAATGAAATGAGATCAATAGAATGTACATAGAAATGCTTTAGTGTGTAAAATACAAAGTGGTTCTTAAATACAATGTGTTTATGAAACATTTACTCTAATTCACCCAAATTATCTTAGTGTAGTTCTCTTAAGATTACATGAGGCCATGTTCTTGGATTATAGAATAAATACTGTAGCAACTTTGCAGATAAAACAGATATTAAAAAATAATAATATCACAAATAATATAGTGAAAAAATAAAATAATAAAATTTTTAATTTTCTTTCATACTGACCAATTACTGTAAAAATTAACAACTTGTCGATATATTATTTAAAAAAAAAAATAATTATTTAATACAAATTTTGCAACAAAAAAAACTTTTTAAACTTTTAACTGTGATTGATAAAAATTTTGTTATAAATTATTAATATTTTTTCAGAATGTGATTGCAACTTCATTTTAAATATTTATTTTATAAAGAATCGTTAATTATATTTTCTATTATATAAAAAATGAAGCAAGTGTAGTTGGGTTTAGCCCAGTTCAAAGGGACATAA